TGTGTGTCGACAATCACAGATATGCTCTGGTGGAGGTCCAAAACCTGTCATTGCAAAAGGAAGTATTCCACAAATAAATGCAGTTGTAAAAGCAAGGGACTCTTGTGCAATTCAAAGTGTCATAGTAGTTTAAGTTGTTGCAATAAATAAGATTTGAATCACATAAGTAAGTAATTTTTTTATTACTATTATTTTCTTTTCTCATGTAGAATGTACCGTGTATTCTAAATTCTTGGTCATTCCTTTCAGAAAGAGAGGCGAAAAAGTTGCGTCACCCTTGTGGCGTTTTATAGCGACTGAATTACGGAGAAGAAAATATAAATCTCCAACATGTTCAACATTCACCATTAGTGCATGGTGAATGTCAACATTTACCGGTGTAAGTCAGAAATAAGGGTATTTAGCAAATATTTCGGACATACACCAAGCGACTATGTGAATGTTGACATTCACCGGTGAAAGTCGACATTCTCCAGATTTCGGTGTTTCACTGTAACATATACACGTTGTGTCCTATTCGTGTTTAGGGCTCGATCGTTCTAGCGTTCATTAAGTTATAAATAGATTTACTTCTGTGTATGGAATATCAAACTACGTCGATTTATATATTAAAAATTAAGCGGTATCAGTTAAGATAAAACTTGAAGCTCTTGTTTAATGCCAGAATAATAGTCCACATAATTGTTGTGATAATGCCCGAAATTGTCTAGGATAGAGCACATTTTCGAGCATATAGCATATATTCTTGCACAACGATAATGTACAAAGACCATTTGAAAGTAGATACCCATTGCTTTTTTGACGTATAATTTGTATACCATGAAATTATTATGTTATTGCTACTGTGAAAAGGTTATAGATATGGGGTTGGATGTTCGAAGCGCCCATTTTTCAGAGAATCCCCTTCTCCTGTCTATTATTATGATCCTCGGTTTTACGGAGACACGGAGATGTCGCTGATAAATTCGATAATCGATGATGTAAAACTCGCGCGAGTCGAGCGTGCACATTATTGGGATCGTGCCGCGCGGCGCGGTGCGGCGTCTAATTGCAGATCTACACGCTTCGAGCCCATTCTCTTTCACTCGTCACGAGATCGATCCTCGTGAAAAATGTGTAGCACGCCGGAGAAAGGTTCGCCGCGACTGTTAAGCACAGTCTCGACCCGCTATAAAACGATTGCGAAAGACCCGCGGACTGCCTTTTACAAGGAGCGCGGCGGAAAAAAACTTTTCTCTCGCGTTGCTCCCAATTAACGGATCGGCGATTTCACTGGACGCATGAGAAACCCCGTAGGAAACTAACAGCAAAACGACATCGGATCGCAAGCTTATTTTGGAACCGACTAATCCTTTCGATTGTTCGATAATATCTTTTTATCGGATACATGTACGATCAATATGTTGATAAAATAAAATAAAATAAAAAATAAATAAATAATAAAAATAAGATATAAAATAATATAAAATAAATAATAAAAAAAATAAATAAAAAAAATAAAATATGTCGATACTGATCAATATGTTGATAAAAACGTTCATATGATTCAATTTTCGATCGAGGATTACGCACGTTCAGCAAAAGTTTCATCCAATAATAACTCTTGTGTTTACGAAGCAATTAAAAGTTGCCAAGCGAACTAATAAGGAAAATGGAAGCTAGTAGCAATTACAAAGTTTACTGTCACGACTTGGGCACGATAACGACTTCACGATTTAATCGATACTAAATTAGGCAAACATCTTAAAATCCGGATAATTCTAATGAAACGCAGAAAGAATTCCTGTGTTCCTGTGTTCCTATGTTCACGGACGGCAGCAAAATCTTAGATAACAAGAGCGTCGGATCATCCTGTACCTCCCTAGGGATCGTATTTCTCATAAAAAATGGAAGAACTTGAAATGTCATCTGTTTGGATCTTACGTAAAAGATTTAACAAAAAAGAGGAAATTGGAATCATTGAATTCATCCTATAAATAACGTCAGACTTAAAAAGAGATCTTTTCATGTATTACTGGGAAAATTTTTGGATGTCGGCGATACACTTTTTAATTACTTTAGTATGTACATATCAATTATGTATATTTATATGTACATTTATATGTATATTTATATTTATATTATATATTATATTATGTATATATATATAATATTTATACATAATTGACAACAATAATTGATAACAATAAATTAAACCGATTTTCTACGTCCAGAGTTCCATATTTATAATAAGATTATAAATAAGATACTCCACAAAACTTTAATTCCCTAAAGCTCCTAAGTCGTACCAAACAGTTTGATAACAATAAATTAAACCGATTTTCTACGTCCAGAGTTTCTTATTTATACATAAATATATATATATTATTTTCGGCCTAACACTAAGTTCACCAGTTCGGTATGTTTTGATAACACGTATAGAATCACGTTTTGATCGCGTTCGACTCACCTGAAGGATCAGCGTTTTCAATTCCTGGTCGCTAAGAAACGCAGGTTTGTAGTGACCTTCCGTGTAGGAGGTGACAGCCCCGAGGATAGTTTTCAGATGCTGAACAGCCATCCTCAGCACGGTTAGCTTGTCGAGCTTCCGGGACATCGCGTGGCACATCGGTATCATCGCCGACAGCTCCGTGATGTAGGTGTTCATCTTGTCCCTCCTCCTCTTCTCGATCTCGCTGTGATTCTGTCTGCAACGCATAAAAGAAACGGGAAAGTCTCAATTATCTGCAAGAAGAATCGAGTGTTTATTCCGAATTTGCAACCCTTTCTATAGAAATTATTATTTAGACAGAAGATTGTAACTATTTTTTCCAGGACCAGTGGTAAACATGTAGAGGGTGCTATAAGTAACGCTGTTACAAAAATGGAACAATAGTGGAACATGCAAAATAGAAATTGATTTGTCTATGCTTCTTTTGCGTGAAATTCACTGTTCGAGGTTGCTGCTACGATGGTCTCACAGATGAACTGAGGATAACGATGCAACCATGGATTGTTGTGGACTATTTTATTTAAATCCGTCGAAGATATTACGATGCCCCGAAAGAAATGAAGGCTTCGTTAGACTCTGTCCAACCTTTTGTAATATTGTGTTGAACTGCGGACAACTCTGTATAACACAAACATTTACAGTGCACTTGTAACACTTAATTCGCGTGTCTGACCATGACCGGTTATTTCTACTTCAATGAGTGTATTTAACATATTCCACCGTATTGGAATATTAGTGGATAATGCGAGAATATTCTGAACAGTGGCGCTTTTGAGTAATTTGATAGGTGCAAATCGTTGGTAAATAATTAATTCAATTCTAGTAAAGGCAAATTATAATGAATTCAATTATAGTAACGATAGGTTACCTAGCGCACAATTTTTATTTTTGTGCCTTCCGGAAATGCATTGCTTTATTATTTCAACACACAGTTCGATCAACTTTTTTTTTTACGTCTGAAAACCTATGTCTGGCAGTTTTTTATCGATCAAGTGGACAGCAACTGGAGGAGAGTCCATAATAGAAAACTTCACGGAATTTGCTGACAGAAACCGTCCGAAGTTTAGCGTGTTGTCAGCGAAGTTGATAAGTTTGATAGTAATAAATTATAAAATGATTTTATTTAGTATAGATACAAATTTATCTGTGTATAGTAGTTAAATCAATATTTTTAGACAATCATTCGCCGTGTGTAAAGCAATTATATCTAATGATGTATGAAAGAATTTAATTAATTGTACATTAATAATCGTAGCGATATATGTATATACGACTAATAATAAATGATGATAATTAGAATCTTCGATATTTATTATTAACCACAAATGACGAGTTAACTTGTCTCCCCCAATTAACAGGTCAAATTTCACGCTGTCGTTTTGTCGTCGGTTCAGACAACTCGCTCGACGACGCGGCGACCGGCAGCGTCGTCAATCAATTATGAAAGACGAATCAGTTAACAAACAGCGCTTTTGTCAGTGCAGATTCGCATTCAGTGGTTCGGCAAGCCGACGCGACGACGAATTATACTGAGAGTCGGTCCGAGAAAACTCTGCTTTCGATTTGTGAATGAATCAAGTCATCTAGGATCCTTAATTATTAAAATTAATTTAAGTTTTTGTTATGAAACTGCAAAGCTTCGCATTTATCAGCAGAATAAAAAGTATACCTATAAGAACGTTTATAACATGACTAATAACTATGAAATGTCTCTAGTTTAGGAAAGTTAAATATTTGACAACGTACTAACATTTCTCAGATAATTGCACCGTAGATCTTGAATGTCTTCTGCGTGTAACGTTATGTGTTATCTATGTATAATTGGATGTAGAAAATATGTCTCTTGAAGAACTAATAATGAAGTAGAGAAGACAATGGTAATGATCTAAAACATCCTCTCAGCAAGTGCAATTTTAACACAATTTGCGTTGCAATGGATGTTATGAAACAGTTTAATGTCAGATTCTTCAGGTTTACAAATAGGACGATTAAAATTATCTGAAAACGTGCAGGGCAAATCGTTTAACGTAATCATCGTATTACTCGGTTGTTAGCAAAATCGAAATTTCTTTCCTGTCACGTATTATGGATCATTTTCTAGACGTTTGGACGTTTAATACATATACCTTCATCGATTTTTATTCATATTCGAAGTTTCATCGATATTAATATTTCTCGAAGATATTTTTATAAAGATACACTTTCTTCTAATTTGATGGACGTGTCGCCTTAGCAATTTATAATAGTACATATAAAATCATACAATGATACCACAATGTTTTCAATAAAGAGAAAAACAAATCAGATCATTTCAGTGACTATTCGAACCGTAATTTTGAAGCTTTCCGTTTCATTTTAATTCAGACGACGATAATGATTATCGTAGAGTAATTAACCGATTGCTGCTCAAATTTTGACATATATGCTTCTTGTTATCACGTTGTTCACAAAGTCACCGTCGTTTCTTACAGATAAATTAACGATACTTTACTTTTCAGCAGATGTCGAAACAAGACGATATATCGATTATGACAAAATACATTTTATTCTCGCCATAAGCTTATCTGTGAAAACTAAGAACAACCTTGAAAAATCCATCAAACGTGGATGATAATTCTGTGGCTATAAGGAAAATCACTCGCAAGTCACAGTTACCAAAAGTTTAAGATAATGCATTAATTGAACTGTAACATATAGGATTTACGTATTTACCAGAAAAAACATTGTGAAAACATATTCTATAGTCTCAAAAGAAATTATGCAATTTGAAATACTAATGAAACGAAGCATTAGTGGTCAGAACTTTAAGAGACAATATCCCGGAAATGAAAACATGTGAGTTGCGGCGTTCTTCCTTGCAGCCACGAAATTAGCCCAAAGGTCTCTCTGGATCATGCTACAGAACACGAATAGATATTTCATAGGTGAACACAAACTTCAAGTTTCCTCGTCGTCTACGGCCAATAGGTTAATAGAGAACCCGTTGGATTTAGCGTATTTGAGTGACGTGGGGCGCATTTTTCATGATCGTGTCGGCGGGCACGGCATCGGAGTGAATCGGATTAATGACGTCGCAGGTGAAGCCAGAGCAAAGAAATCAAGGTAGGTCAAGGTGGCAGTTACTTTGCCCGCACACCTGACATAATAATACGTAATCGCTCTGACCAGGATTAAGCTTTACCAGTGTAATGCGGTTTCTTCGATACGACCGGAACAGAGAGAGCCGGGCGTCCAACAGCCCCTGATAACTTCAACTGCACGCGTGAATCTTCTTTTATATAATCGATTCGCACTATGAATCTCGTGGATTTAATATTAGATCGAACATTACAGGTCTACGTTTGCCCCACATCTTAATCAAGCTACTTTTTCTCAATCGCGTTGCACGTGTTTGTCGCCGATTACAGTAATTTTATTTAATCGTTATAAACCGTAACATCAATTATTTCTTAGCTGCCAGTATTAAAATGATATAATTTTAGTTGCGTCTGATCGTCGGTGTAAATAGTAGTAAGGAACTGATTTTGTTTTTATATTAAATAATAAAAGAAATTATTTAATATAAAAATATTGAATATAATTACTTATGTCGCGAATCAATTAGAATTCAAAATTTCTTAACCGATGTTGTCAAGTGGAGATTAACGTGTGTTAAAGATGATCTTAGGGGGAATATGCCGTGTTTCCGAAATCGTGGTACAATCGGGAGATAGATGGTTTTTTAGGTACATACAATAATACGAGAACATAACAAATATACTGAGGAAATGTTTCCGAGATCATATCCTTCGAAATTTTTAGGTCATTAATGATTTTTTTCTATGATATTACGATTACAGTGCTGGAAAGGATACTTTTCCACTTCGTGTTATGAAGAACAACGAACGTACATATTTCAAGTATCAACCTTAGTATTTTGTAATCCTGTTAATGGATAAAAAATGCCGCAAGAACGAACATCCTTATTTTCGACAACAAGGATCAAAATTGAGCTTCGTCGAACACCGTGGCCGCACGATCCGATTAAAGGTGACGGTACTATCCACTTGGCTCGTCCATCCTCGTGGAAATCATACTAAATGTTACGCATACGTTCGTATTTACAGCAAGCGGTAAAGGCGAGCGATGCAGAGTGTCGCGTATCCAACGAACATCCGATTTCGATTTTCTGAAAAACCCAGTCTTATACCAAAACCTTTCGTCGCCTATTCTCTAATTACTTTTTCGTTAACGATCCAGCCACTCACCAGTTGCACCTCAATTTCGATAACAACTTGAATTTGCTTTACTATAACTAACTTTAGAGCACGACTAAGCCTGCCTCTAAATGTGTACCATTAGAAAAACATGATTCTACTCACTTCTTACTGTCGTCGTTTGTGCGAACAGATTTGGCATCGTCGCCCGTATCGTCTAACAAATCACTACCGTCACTGAAACAAAGAACAAGCGAAGATGGTCAATTAGACTATAATAACGACGTGAAGTAACGATTCCTCCAACGATCATTAATTTTTTTCGTCTGATATTTTTACAATTGCGAAATTTTTAAATTTCCAATATTTTCACTTGTTGAAAACAGTAAGTTTTTCCTATTTAATTAGTACTTGAATTTTCCCTTGAAGTTTCGAAAATCTCAGTTAAAATGTTGCTGAAACTTTTGCTAAATATATCGGTTAAATGTGTTACCGAATTAAAAGCTAACAAAGAGAGGTCCCCCAGGCGTGATACTCAATTTTTGGTGAGATTTTGCACAGTGGTTGAGCTCGTAAAACTGGATTTTTATAATATCCGGTTTATAATTATTGAGATATACTTAATGTTAAAGTTGTTAGTAACGAAGCTAGAAAGATAAGCTGGATTTCGGGCCGTGCGGCGGGGTGGGAATGCGGGGATGTCAGAGAAGTGCTCACGAGTGGTGGAGCGAGGGAGAAGAAACTACTGGAATGTCCTAATGTTTCCTCTCTCTTGTTACTAAAAAATTTAACATTAAATATCTCAAAAACTATAAGCCGTCTGCACCCAAAACTGGGTATCATCAGATTCAGTTTTACGAGCAAAATCTTATAAAAAATTAAGTGTTACGTCTAGGGATCTTTGATTTCATAGAAATTAATTTTCATTTTTTTCATAGAAATAATATTCAAGTGTTTCGTTACATATACACAGTAAAGAAAATATCTATTTCAATTATTTCAGGTTTTCAGGTTCATATTATAAAATATATATTTTGAATACCTATTATATATTTGTAAAATGTATTTAAACTATTGTAGCATTTCAAATATATGTTATTACAGAAATAAATGTTACTATTTCAAATGAAGTAGGATATATAACACAGTTGAGACAAATAGTATATTTGCAGATATCGGTTTTTCTTAATTGAACTATTTTTATATACCACTGATACAGTAAAAACGTACTTCAAATATCAACATTTAGACTTTATTGTTTTTATTGTTATTATCATTATGGTTGGGAAGAATGCATGTTCCTCAGATTTCAAATTGTGTAAACATTTTTTTAGACATATTCGTTGCAAAAATATTTGCCAGGCAGGAAGTAACGTGAAACCGCGGAATAATTGAGGAAGACCTACGCTCGCGCTTCGAAACGACGAAACACGGAGAAACCAAACGTGAGTACAAGCGAAACAATTTATTTGGCGTGCAACCCTTTCGAGGGTGCGACATACACCTTTTTATGCACAGTTTCGCCAAGTTTTTCTCGCGCATAGCTGTCGCGAGCCTTTTCTTGCTCTCCGAAGTTTCGTATACCGCGTCGACCTCCTCTGACGAAAAGTATTCAATCGAGACCGTCAATTCTAAACGAATTGTTTAAATACACGAGATGTATTTTGTACGTCAAAAATTGTTAAAGATAAATCTATATGAACAACCAAGTCTGAAACGATACATTTTTTTCTGTGTGAAGCTTCATTTTTGACAAATTCTACGATCTGGTAATTAGATTGTGAATTTTTACACATTTACGGCACATGGAAATCTTATCATTAGTGAAAGACAATTTTCCTTCATACTTGTGTCTTTTACAAAACAATCTACAAAAATAGATAGCAACAGAAATTTAAATATTTATTTATTTATTTATTTACGGAAGAAAGAATCCCTTTTGGAAACATAGAAAAAATATTATAAATTAACAATAGGAATCAAGAAAACGATGCACCTGACGCAAAAATCACGGTAGGGTAGAAAAAGACTAACTGTTTATAATAGATGTTAACGTTTCTAAAAATCCAATTTAAACCGTTATTATTGCAGTATAATGTGACATGATTCTCTTAAATTAAAATAGTTCGGTTCCTAATGGATATTCGAATATAGATTAACTCCAAAACCACCAGAAATTTTAATGCAAAACTATGGTCTGCGATAAAATTACAATTATAGAAACAGAAATTTATTGGCGCTGTAATGATACTGAATAGAGAAAAAACTTGATACCAATCTACAAGTAAAGAAATTAACAGTACCGATGATCAGTGGTAATTGATGTAAAAATTAAGTAGCAAGAATGTAATGCAAGGAAAAGTGTCTTAACTAACGATCTAACGCTTGTGGCCATCATGTGAATTTGTATATTCTCCTTGTACATTCTAGGTAAGATGGCAAACGCAACTGGTTTCCGCCAATTACTGAACGCAATTTCGAGAGGCCCGGTATCCCGAGGGAGCACAAATCTTCGGCGTTTCGTTAATGATTAAGTTAACCCTTTGAGCGGGTAACCGACACCTTGATCGGTAATTACTTGGGAGTTGCGGTCGTTTAACGGGCAATATCGTGGGAATGGCAACGGGGTGGAAAGATATTTCTGGATGGAAATGTACAAATACATTTAGGTGGCTTCGTTTCCGACGTGTTCTCTACCCTGCTACCGGGTTAACATGTAATACACCGATTGCTGTACGACTTCCATCCATTCGTTCCGTGGAACTGACTTTGTTAGGAACACGATGGATAAAAAAAGGGGCAGTATTATATTTGCACCTGTCAACGTTTCAATGATACTACTCGTTTCTACTTCGATAGAAAATGGCTGACTTATCAATTTAAAAAGTAAATGAACTAATAAAACGATCTGATGAAAGTAAACCGAAGAAAAAACGATTAGAAGAAATTATTACAACGTGTGTATAACAGTTTGTATAAGCATCCATAAAGTTGTTAGTCTAGGACTTATCATTACGAATTGGTATATTGTTTACAAAAGAACAGACTTGTGTAGTTCTTCAGTTCTGGATTCGTCAGATTCGATTCCAGAATTATTTCACCAAAATAGGAATAATTAAATCGAGTTTGAAATAAAATCTCTTTGAAGGAACAATGTGTTCGAATAATTAGACACATGGTGTACACTTATTTGAAAGAAGTCAATGTGATCTATTTCTAATTTTCTCTTCAACAATTCGAGTTGCAATTGTAAAAATGTTTTCATGTTGAATAAACCCATTCTTTCAAGCACTTATTCTAGCAGAAATCGTGCGAGATCTGAATCAATTCAGTTCTTTGCTTGCTAAGCGTACGTCAATGCGTATAGAGGCCTCAGAAACCATTCAGTATAAGTCCCCAAGCATGATAACTCAGATAATCATATTTTTAAAACCTAAGTTTAAAGGTTACAGAAGAATCTATTTAGTAACAGATAAACAAATAGAACATTGCTTATCGCAGGTTTTGACGTTAATCCTCGCATGACGTTGGCCGTGTCTGCGGTGACCTTTATGTATTACATGTAAGGAAACATGATAAATTATTTATTACAAATACAAAAAAACATATAGTTTTTTATCCCCTACCGCATTTCATTATGGCGATATTAGCGATAATCGACAAATAAATAAATCAATGAAAGTAAATTGCTATAGATGCTAGTATAGGTCATGCGGGACCCGGTCACCGGTCGATTTCACCGGTAGTCCAATCGAATCCCAACAAGTATCAACATCATTCGTGACTGATCATTAGAGTGATTCATAGTTTTTGATTTACGATTCTTTCTAGTCTTATCCCTCCACACCGCGATACTTGGTGACAAAATGTGTGCAAAATTTGGAAGTATTTGTGCTAAAGCTGAAAAACTTCAAGGACTTCATGTTCTTTTCGAACATAAGTAGTATTTCGTTATTTGAAAAATATCGTTAAACGTTTCTGCCTGAACGACAATGCCTTAGATGAATAATAATAACCTTTATGTGTTGCTTCTAAAAATATATACAAAATCTTTTTAGATTTATTATTAATCCTTTGCACAAAGTGCAAAGACAACCTCTCCTTCAATGTTTAAATATTCATAATTAAAAAGTAGACAAGTATGACACAATATTATAGTGCAAGGGATTTTATATATATATAATGTGATGCAGTATTTGACAAGGGGGAATATATCGAAATCTAGACTCACTAATTTTGATGGAATTCCTATGAGAGGTAGTTTTCAGAAAAAATATTTGACATCTTTTTCACCCTTGACATAACCCTGACATAATCTTGACATAACCCTGTTGAATGAGTCAAAACAGCCCTCAAAGTTTCGGATAAAAAAATACATTTAAGGTAAGACCAAAAAATCTCAAAAAGTGGCTCTTATAACTAACGAAGTACCATCCTACTGACCAACCGTCGACGAGTTAGTGAGTGAAATAACACAGTCTTACTGGCATGAGAGTTTCCGTTTCCTCGGAACGGGCGTGAACTCGTCGGATGTATCGGTGTTGGCCTGGCCAAGGCTCGGAGTGGTGGACGCGCTTCGTTGTTGATTGTGACGATGATGATGGTGATGGTGATGATGATGATGACGGTGATGGTAGTGATGATGGCCGGAGGCGGGTGCCTGGTCGGGTACCATAGTCGGTGGTGTCTCCATAGGCTGGGGCGGTTCAGCCCCCGTTACGACCCCCTGGTTGCTGTTTTCGTTCCCACTGGCTGGTGCAATGGTGCTGGTAGTGGCGGCGATAGTAACGGTGGTAGCGCAGGTCGTGTTCGGGTTGGTGGTGGTGGTAGTGGCTGTTGTCTCGTTGGTGGCGGGGGTTGGAGTCAGGCTGAGACCATCGCCACCCCCCGCCGGGACCGCGGATACCTCGCCCACACCAGAAGCCGCGCCTATATCGCCGAAGTAAACCGTGGAACAGGTGTTTCTGGAACAATAAATCGTGTACCGATCGATCAGACACACGCTCGCCGTCGCCGTTGAGTGCATGGTCCGTCAGGAATCAACGGGACCTGGCACTGTCTTAACGATAAGGCAGTGGAGCCGGTTACTGTGCGACGACCAATTGCTGCGGCTTTGGTTCGCTTTCGGGCATAATTGACTTTATATTTATCGAATAAAACTATGTTGTTTTATTCTTTTATTTTGTTAATTCTCGAATGAAAAATTTTAACCGAAAACAAACCAAACAAATAATTGGTCACCCTGTAGTAACTGGCTCCACTAGCCTAATACTGTGGCTGTAAGAAAAACCGTCGCATATCACAATTTCAAAAAATTTCAGTTTAGATTCACGTACTTAACAGAAAAATATCATGAAAACAAATTCGATAGGTTCAACAAATAAAAAAAAGAAAACAAGAAAACACTGGTAATATGAAGCATTTAATGATCAGAAATTTAAGCGATAATATCTCGAAAGTGAAAACATGTGACGTGCGGCGTTTTTCCTTGCCGCCACGGAATTGTCGTTGGAAGCTTGGATGTTAGCATATAGTACAAGACTATGAATGGTGGTCAAACAGTTTTTACAATCGCGATCACGATATTCTGAGGTCGTGAAACCGGATGGGCTATAAAGTAATCGTGCTTGCGATTTTCGCGGGGTAATGACTTTGATTTCCGATCGGTTTAGGACTCCAAACTATGGTCGGGATTGTTCAGGAAAAATGGCGCGTTCCGGTGCGGTAGCGATAGCGATAGCGAGTGCGACGTTGACCGCGATGACGGGTATACGTATTTTTCGTTAATTCCTTTCAAGTGCAAAATTTCTTCGAACAATCCTGACCAAGATTCGCAGAGAAGCAAGTCAAATCTAGTTTCGAAGAAGTGCGAATAGGTGACGCATGCGCCAGGAGTTCCGTACAGCAGCGTGGCGCATCTACCGGGTGAACATTATAATTCTGAACTCTCGTGATCGTAGTTCAGAATTATAATGCTTCCCTTTCCCAACTCCTTTAAAATCAGATCTGACTTATTTCTCAGCGATGGCTGGTCCTGACTATAGTTTCTTTCGAGTCCTACTCCGGTCATAAATTAAGATCGTTATCCCAAAAGCCGCAACATGATTACTTTATCGCTCGGCCGATTTTACGACCTCAGAATATCGTGTCCGCAATTATGCCCTTCAGACTTTTTGCAAACATTGTAATGAACTTCATACAGTGGATTCTGTGAATTTGATGACAAATATGAATCGGTCAGATCCTAGAGTGTTAACACAGAATTAAGAGTATTTACTTCTAAATAGTTTAATGCATAGAGAAGTGTCCGGGTTAGTACAATTGGCCCATCGAAATGGATCCGCTTGACTAAATTGTTTTAATAATCACTTTGCTATATTACTGGCCATGTGTCTGAACTGATCTTTAAATGTATTATTATATTAAAAGCCGATATACAGGGTGTTTCATAACTTGTGGTATAAATTAGGTCAGGTAAATTCTATGGCTGGAAATAAAACGAAAATCATGAATAACGATATTGCGTGGAAGACTTCGTTTTTGAGAAAATCAAATTTAAATATCGGTTTTATACATGCAGTTTGAATAATATCTCGACTAAAAATAAACTAAATTGAACGAAAACTAGACTGATTATTTTAGTACCCTGTGTTCAATGTATTCTTCAATTGTATCTCGATAGTAAACAAGCCCTGATATTGTATCATGCATGAAAACGATCATATTAGCGGTCTATAACGATCAGTTATACTCGACTGATATTAGAATTAAATTCCTGATTTTCGTCTTATTTTCAGCCATAGAAACTACCTGACTCAATTTTTACCATGAATTATGAAACACCCTGTATATTGTTATGTAACTTTGAACATGAACGATGTTAACTTTGCGTAGAGGTCAGCAGTCATCATTGATGATGTCAGCGAGTTTTTTGACTCCTGATGGAAATAACTTTAATGTTTGCGGAATTTGTTTATAGACTAATTTCAACAGGACCCGGCTACATCCGAAAGCCTCAATTGTAAACACTGCATGAAATCAGGCCTTGAACCTACGATGATATGTACGTAGTTCTGTGTCTCGAATTGTCTATTTCAAAAATTTCAGTCCCCCCTTTTTTTGGTCTGTACATAAGAGCGTCTTTAGTATTTAAAACCGACTGGCGATTGTGCAAACTTTCGAGCTCCCATCGAAAGGTGTTACACATTGACAAAATCGTTGTTAAGCAAATCGGAACTACAAACATGAAGCAGAAACTATTCCTACAAGATTAGGTGCAGAAATTAATTATTTTCCTTTTTTAAGTGAATCGAACGTTTATTGGCAGAAATATCGTACAATTGTCAAGCCTCAAAATGGTCACCATTGTTTTTAGTGACTTTCCGATGTCAAGCAAGTGTTGGTTTTCTTCTTGAGAAATTGTGAGCACACATGCGAATACGTATCCGTGATAAAATATTACATTTCACATAAAATGCTACTGTCGTGGTAGTGCAACATATTCTTAGGTATAAATTGATCCTCAATGGTTGCGTAGACTTTAATTTTTTGTGTTTTGATTGGAATATGCAAAAGATAGCCGATACCAAGAATGAATAATTAATTGATAGCATCTCTTGATCCAAGTCCCGCGGCGGTTAAGATTATTGAAATACTGGTCGGATGAATTTTTACACGAAGTATTTATGTTAAAATCCTAAATATTTTTCACCTGAACAAGGAGTTTATTATTATTTAAATTCAAGTTGGCGACATGAGTGTTTTTATTTGTACAGGACTGCTATAACAATTGATAGTACAGTTGTACAAAGCATGAAAAATTGTTGAGTTCTTATCGAAACGGCTTGGTCGTATCTTGTTTTCAAAATATAGTAATTTATTTTGAAAAATTACTTTCTCCCAGAACTAAAAAGTATTACAAAAAAGCTGTGAGTATAATTTTAGCGAAGCCCCTTACAGCTTCACGCGAAGAAGAGAAAACGTGAAAACAACGTGGCCGTCGCGGCGTGTTAACATTTATATGATTTATGCAATTAAGTCAGTGGTATACACGCAATTGCAAATAGATGCTAATTAATCCGAAGCGTGGGTTCATTTGAGAAGTTGTATTCGAGAAAGTTTCATCGAACGATGCTCGATCATTCATGGAAATCACTGACTCTGCACAATCGGCGACCATATTGTCGCAACATAGACTATATTGTACAGATTATCCATAAGAATTCATAACACAAATTTCAAAAGACCATATAAATCCATTATAACGATTTAAACAGTGCATCAATTATCTACTGTGTTAACACAATCTATAAAAATGTCTCTTCGATTTCTTATTGCTACACGTGACAACACATTGTCGGGAACACCAAATCACGAGCACCTATAAAGCTAGACATCGAGAAACACACATACATTCATGCGATCTTTCTACCCTTAAATTGGACCTGTCCGCCCTCTAACACGAACGTATAAAACACGACAACAACGCATTGATTTCCACTTACTCTTGGACAGCCGAGAGATTATAATAACAGCGCGTGGGATGATGCTGATGATGTTGATAAAGTTGAATCCCGGTGGTCGTCATTCCGGTGGCCACCTGTCCCCTAGCGTTATTGTGATCTTGGTGGATCCGCGGCTGTAGCTCCTCCAGCGAGATGAACTCCTGCGGCTCTTGACTCGAATGGAGGAGCTGCGTGTAACTCTGTGCCATTTCCTGGGCCACCATCTCCTGGTCCGGTGGTCCACGAAAGCACAGCAGGTCCTCCAGCTCCTCTTCCTGCCGCTGCTGGTATTGCTGCCGATGATACTCGAGCTGCGTCTGGTCCCGATAGTAACGGAGACGTTGCTGATGATGTTGATGCACCTCACAGCTGTTCACGTCGGCGCCATCGCCGACCACAACGTCATTCTTCACGACACCGCCGCTATCTGACAGTAATCCACCCTCGTCTGCGGACCCGCAAACAACTGTTCCTTTATTCGGATAGCGATTTTCGCCGAGCCGACCACATGATTGCAACGCGCGAGCGACCAACATCGGGACCAACACAGATACTAGGACCAAGATCAAAGTCAAGACCAGGGTCAGGATTGCGTTCGAGATCAGAGCGATTCAGAGTGATTCAACGCAAGACTGCTATCAGGACCAAGGGAAACATGAAAACAAAGACGAAGACTTGTCTTGGGATTGAGACTCGAATCGGGGTTCTAGTGAAGAATCTTGTACGTTCGATGCTTAGAACACGCTAATGAGCAGCAAGGAACCATGGAATCGACCATTGCGTCTGGGTGTCGGATAAACGATCGACTGTACACATCTCACGTGCTGGTAACTTGGAAATTACGACGAAACGCATCGAAAATACGCTGAAGACGAAGCCGAACTGTGTCAAAAACGCTACGGACGACAATGTAAGGGAGTTCACATGTGCTTGACACCTGTTGGCGGACGCTTATTCAACGTGGTCACGCACACGTGACACCGGTCACGCCGATACGGATTTCACCGAAAAAATAAAATTGCCAAAAATCTCGCTTCCTAATGTTCCATTTCTTGTTAAGGGAAGTAGCTACCTGAGTACCCTGAAGAAATGCCTTTGTTGTGGAGATCACTGCAATTCTCGATCGGCGAATTACGCGAACGATTTTCCGGAAGCAAACGATGTGCGCAGATTTTGCGTATTATAGCATTTGATAAGATTCTGGCGGCTCGGTTACGTAAACGGTCATGTAATTATTCATCGCGGTCTGCGACGATGTAAAACACGACTTTCTAAATCGCTGACCTCGTATTTGAACGGGCCGCTGATTGTCATCGGGTTCGAATAAACGCTCCCTTTGTACGCCGGTCTCATTTATTCACCTCTGCGACACGATCACACCGGGACGATTACGATAAACAAATTACACCAATTATGCTATGATCCGGTCAATTAAACGGAAATTACTTGCGACCGTGTCT